ATTCACCTATATTTTGTACAAATTTATAAACCGTCCACCACTAAACTAATTAAATATATAAAAAAAAAATCCATCATTTTTCACTTGAATCTTTATCACAAAATCCCACCCTCTCCACCTTAACTGAACAATACCTTTGTTAGAGAAAAAACATTTCCGAAGGTCAATTATGAGTGCTTGTATGAAAGGTCCTGAACTTTATGATTGTATGAAAAGTCCGAAACTTCCACGAGAATTGACTAGTTTGGCTTAATATAATTTCGTTTCCTAAAATAAAAATTACATAATGTGCACTTCATCTGATATGAAAGTCTAAATATCTTGTAATAACTACTTCATCGCAAAAAAAAATAAAACTAGAAATAATTTAGAACTCATGAGGATTAGGGTGGTCGATTAGAAATTCAAGGGTATTTATGATATTTTATATATTTTTTTATGATAAATTGAGATACTTTGGACTTGAAAATAGCACCACTCTTTATATTTTTAGTTTTCAAGTAATTAATTCAGTCCAAGTAATTATGTGAGTTAATTTTTGCACTTTGTTCATTTGAAATTAAGTTCAACAATGGAAGAAAATAATATTTTGATTTGGTATTTCACACCTCTAGAAAAAACCTTTAATTGGAGTATATTGTGTAGGCTTTGATTAAACTTTTATGGCGAAAGACTTTGTAACATATTATGCATGTTTAATAAGCTATCAAAAATCATTTACAAATGGAATTGGTTTCGATCCCAAAATCTAGTGTACGTTTTATTAGTTACTGTGGATCTTTAAAGTTTCAAACCTTTTTTTTTTCTCTTTCTTATTAGGTGTAAACAAATCGAGCCAAATCAAATATACCGTATGATTATAAATTAAAGTTGGGTAAATTACAAACACCCCCTGAGGTATGGTCAAATTACAAAAACACTTCTCTTGTTTGGATAATTACAACCACCCCCTCAGCTCTTCAAATTTAGTGGAATCTTCGAGATTATATGAAATATTATCACTTTTGTACCCGTTTTATACCATTCAAACTCTACATTATGAAGTAAGATGATCATAATATGTGATTTTTAGCTTTTGTATATCAGTTTGTAGTGCATCGGAAACTGTATTTTTACACAAAACGAATACAAACTAGAGCACATTACACAGAATCTAGATGATTATATTGAATTTGGCACAATAAGGGTGGAGGTGTAAGAAAAAATCATAGTTGAGGGGGTATATGTAATTATCCAAACAAGAGGGGGGGTTTTGTAATTTGACCATACCTCAGGGATATTTGTAATTTACCCATTAAAGTTTGATTGAAATTTTAGTAATGAACTTTAAGTTTTGTATTTGAACTTGGTATTGTTAGCAATCCAGTCATGTTTAAAATGATTTAGTTGAATGCGGATCGAGCGCCACCAATTTAGTTTTTATACATATCTTCTTTTTTTATAATTAAAATCGAACTCGAACCGAACTTCATATTTTGAATAACAAAATACAATAGCTACCCCAATACAATGTTTGATGACGATTATTATCTTGTAGATTTTTTTTTTATTATTTACAACAAAAATGACTATTATTAATAGTTTCGAAATAGTCTAAGGGCGCATTTGGATGGAGGGATTTGGAGGAGGGATTTCAAATCCATAATAACAAATCCCTTGGCCTTGTTTGGATTGAGGGATTTGGAGATGAATTTCAAATCCCCACCCCTCATTTTTAGTTGTTTTTTGAGCAATAGTGGTGAATTTCAAATGACTCCAAAATTGAAATCATTTCAAATCCCTTCCTCAAATCAATTCCTCCTCCAAATTCCTCCATCCAAACGCACTGTAAGGGAGAAGAAAAAAAAAAACCATATATTACATAATGTTCCCCAAAATCGATTACAAAATAAAAATTCCCATTCCGTGAGGTGGTACGTGTGGCAAGTACAAGCCATAAAGGCTCAATCAACTGTAATAGCAGTCAGTAGTCAGGGGTACTTTAGTAGTTTCAGTTGCGCCACATTAAAAGGCGATGAGGTCCAGCTACGATAAGCATGACATCAATTGACTTCGCCCTTACGGAGCCGCAACCCATTTTCCTTTTTTCTTTCATCGGGTTATTATAGTCAATTGCTATGGTCCCAAAACCAACTAAATAATTAAATATTAATAATAATAATAATAATAATAAATTAACGGTTCATAATTTACTTCTCAAAAATCTCTTCGTGCTTCCAAGCATGGTTATTAAATCGTAAATCGAATCGAAAATCGTTTTGTCAAAATTGCGAATCGTAAATCGTAACGAATCGTAAATCGTAAGATTTATTAAATTTTATTAAAATATTAATATATTAAATAATGTATACTTATTTATGAGACATTGTATTTTATTAACAACCAATATATATATATATATATATATATATATATATATAT